ATTTAGTGTTTTTATGACAGCTTTGAGAGAAATCCGCGTGCTACTCTTCAAGCCAGACAGCCGGTCGATGGCTTTCCGTTGACAAACACAGTTAAATACTCACTTAGCCCAAGCACCGGGCCAGTTTATCCATGGCAGACCGTTGGAATAGCTAATACGTAATAAACCAACAAGCCGCGTTCGGATCCCAGGTTGTATAAAACAACAGTTGGGTAAGGCTCTCTGAGGATTGGTGTTGAATTACAGATGGCCATTACGTTATCCCTTACTTTGTTGGTACGTGCTTCCTTTGTCTGAAAAAAAAAACAAATGTTTCCACTGTTCACCGGCTTTTTGCGCAATAAAAGTCATCTGCTTCATCCAGTCTGCGCGAATAATAATAAGGGAAATCGTGATATTGCCAATCATAATACACGGCAGTATAGTTGGGTTACTGCTTTCACCACTTTACAGCGAAAAGGGAGCCTGCTTCACAAAATGTCAATGTAAAACTTATTAGAGTTGCAGGAAACACATCTATCTAATTAACGAACAAATTAACAAATGGGCTGGATTTCCATACTGGTGTCTACAACCCTATATGGATGTCTGTATAACAAGCCTACAGGAAGATACACAAGTATATTTTCAACGAGTGCTAGATGAGGATCAAGGTTTAAGCTAATGCGAATTTTAGTTTTTCAGGTTTCATCCTCCTCGTTTTCGGGGAATGACACATTAGAGAAAGATAAAAATTCCTTAAAAATAACGATTTTATGCGAAGAATCAGCAAAACTCCCCCATGTAACCGAAAGCAATTACCTACTCCGGTCGAGGATCAGTATAGCAATGAAATTTAGACGAAAATCGGTAATCGAAAAGTGTAAAAATGTGTTTGAAAGTAAGCGATTTTTGAATTAATGTCCTGCTTGTATACCAGTGAGTCAATATGGACATATGGAGATCTGCTGAGGTGTTGAATCACCGATAATTTCTAAAAGCAGTCGTCGCAGTCAGTAGAACTAATTACCTCCGGTTGGACCGAAAAGAGAATCTCCGAATTTATCAATATTAATAACCAAAACGCTTGTGAAATTGTGCCTACCCGAGTCTGGACAAGACTCCAGGCACACGGAAGGCGAGACAGCCATGTAGCATCATCTTTAGCTAATCTTAGTCAACAGTTCTACAAAGAGGAAAATAAAGGCGTTTAGGAAATGGCAGGAAATAACTAATCTTGCCCCACAGTCTCCCTGCTAAACGGATGGCACACAG